AGGACTCAGTGCAACTGGAACTCTCCACATGTTGCTGGTGAGAATGCAAAATGTACTACTAGCCACTCTAGAAAGTGGTTTGGCAGTTTCTTATAAGGTTAAACCACAGTTGCCATATAACCCAACAATTCCACTCCTGGTTATCCACCCTATAGAAATGAAAACATATGTTAACATAAAAACCTGTACATGAATATTTATAGCAACTCTATTCATAATTGGCCTAAACTGGAAAGCACCCCAACTGTCCTTCAGTGTATCCATGTGCTAAATGGATACACAGACTATGATACTTCCATACTGTGACATACTACTCAGCAATAAGAAGGAACCAAGGTGTCATGTTGAGTGAAAAAAGCCAGTCTCGAAATGTTATATACTATATGATTCCATTTATATAAAATTCTCAAAAACAAGAATTAAAGGGATAGAGGACAAATAAATGATTGCTAGGGGTTATGGGAGGGAGGAGAGTGACTATAAAAGAATAGTATGAGGGAGTTTTGGGGGGGCAGTAGAAATGTTGTGTATCCTGATTGTAGTGGTTGTTACATGAACCTGTACATGTGTTTAAAATCATAGAAAGCTAAACTGAAAGAAAAAAAGTCAATTTTACAGTATAATTTCTAAAATAAAAATTAAAACAGAGAGCAAAACAAAAATAAATCAGTACAGAAAATAAGATATTTTCCATTGTTTGAAATCTCTAACTGATAGAACATACTAGCATAAATAAAGTCAATGCCATATGGGAGGAAGCAATGGAAAGACAGAATCTTAGATTGGGTTAGATTCTCATAGATCATTAATCCAGGGTTAGCAAATATGCTTGTGGCAATTGAAATACACGTTGCAAATATGTGTATTTCCAATGATAGCTACAATAATATGTGCCAGCCGACATGCTCTTCTACACCTGGCTGCTCCTCCATCAAGAGGTGTATGCCCCTGTCACTTGATAGTCATTACAATGGTATGCACTTCCTCCTGTTCTCTTGGAACACTCGCTCTTAGAACCCAGCCAGGGTAGTGTGAGGAATTCCAGGGAACCCATGGAAAGGCCTGCGTGAAGAGGAACTGAGATCTTTACCCTGTACCTGGGTGATCTTCCAACCAACAGCAAGCACCGACTTGCCAGCCATGTGAGAGAGCCATCTTGAAAAAAGTCAATTCTAGCTGACACTGCATGGAGCAGAGAAGAGCATGTCTGCCAGGCACTGTCCAAGTTGGATATCCCCGAGCAAAAAATGGTCGCTGTTGTTCTAATCCATTAAGTTTTTGGGTGGCGTCTACAGAGGAGAAAGATTAATTGATATTTTTACTCATCAACAAAAACAGATCAGAGTCCCTTTCTAGAACACGGTGTTCTGAAGAATTCTTGGGATGGGATGAGACTTAGAGAGAAGGAGTGTGAGATTGATTAATGAAGCCATCCCTTGGGCATAGTACTGAGTGATGGCACCAGTACTAGAATCATGTTAGAATTCAGCACCTTCATGTTATATAATTGAGTAAGACAGAATGCAGGCGAGTTGTGATCTGCTCAAGATCACACAGATATTTAGTACGAGAGCCAAACCTCCAAATCCGGTCTTCTGACGTGCAGTTTAGTATTTTTTCCACTTTGCCATGTCCCTTCCCAATGACAGATTCCAAGGACTTGAATTACAGGACGTAGAGCAGCAAATATATGCCTGAATGCTTATGCTTCCCCTTTCCATGCCTGTGACAGACATCATTAGCTAAGTATAGCACTCTCCTAAGATCACTGGGATACATATGGATGATAGATTCCAAATTGCTATATAGCTAACGAGAACCTGAGTAGAAAGATATAAGAGCTATAACTGATTTGTATCAGGACCGTCAGAGGAATACAGCTCAAAGGAGGCTCAAAATACATGCTGTAAAAATATTTGATATGGAAATGCATTGAGTGTGAGCAAGAGAGAAGGCTTTAGACACGACTACTCTGTATCCAGGATGTCTGTCTGAAATGACACAATAAACTTACTTCTTATAGGATCTACTAAGGAATTGCTTCTCACATCCTTGGGGAACTCTGCTGCAGATCCTGTTAGACAATTTCCATTTAATATTTTTGAACTTATTTTGTTGTAATTGAAAGAAATCCTGTTACTTTAGTTATGGTGTTGCATGTATATAATTTGGTCTCCTGCTGAATACCACAGGACTGAAATGCATACAACACATACAGGGCAGTATTGAAATATTGTACACTTTGATGGTTCTATTCTTCATGGTGCACTTGGCATCATTTGGGAGCAAGGTGGGCTCAGAAAAAAATAGACCATTTTTAGGGTATGATTTAAAAGCTGGGGTTACAAACCCATGGCACTGTGAATTATAGGTTAGTTCACTAAGAACTGGATTCAGATTCATCCAACATAGGGCCAAGAACAGAGCTTCTTTGAACTTGACATAGAGGAACAAAAATACCCTGTATAAGCAACTGTAACTTAAATCCCAGGAAAACAATGATCACTTCTCCCCTCCTGTGATTCTGAGTAGGGTGTGTGGAGGTTAAGTATGAGTGATATTTGAATAAAACAAGTAGCCAAGTGCATTCATTCATTTATTTGTTCACTGAGCATCTAGTAAGTGCAGGGCAGTTCTGTTAAACACTATGGGTGATACAAAGATGAAATGATAAGGGATTTTGTCTTCAAAGTTTCTCTAGCAGGAACCCCACCATGGGCCTAATGAATCAGAAATGTAATTAGTGGTCAATGGCAAATGGCACCCAAAGAAAAGATCACTGGGCTTAATTCTTAGAAACAGGATACATTACTGAATTGTCTACGCAAACCAGCAGGCATCAAAAATATTAATAGCGTGCTTCTCTCTCTCTTTTTCTTTCTCTCTCCCTCCTACCCTCTTTCCCACTCTTTCTCTCTTTCTACATGGATTTAATTATCATTGGAAAAATTATGAATTGCTGGGTCACCTAGACTCCTTACTATGCTCTTAGGACATTGTTCCTGGTAATGGAATTCTTTTCATCATCTCCTCTCAGATTTGCAGTATAGGCTTGCCCTTTAACAAGTAAGTGTTCTTTTCAGAAAAATATGCAGCAAATGTGGCAAAACAAAAATATAATATTCTTGGAAGTGGATTAGTTTGGAGAATAATTAAACTTTCCTTTTTTGTACTTGGACTTCATTCTTCTAGTAATTTCTCCGTCTACATTAAATTTTCAGGAAGGTTGAAGTCATTTATTCTTAGCTCTTCAAAAGACAGTAAATTCGTGTTACATCTTTTCAGGTTTTGTATTCTATGTTTAGGAGCTGTTGATTTATAGTTCCCCTAATCTTTTCTAAAATAGACCATCTCAGTGCTTTCCACTGGACTTTCCTAAATACCAGCAACTTGTTTTTCAACAAATAATCTTAACCCAAAGCCTTATAATATCTGGTAAATGCCAGCACACAGGAACGAGACAGAAAAGAATCTAAAGAAAGTGGGCTTTGGAGTTGATCCAATTGGATACCCTGGAAGACTCTGCTACTCCCTCTGTGACTCCAGGTAAATTACTTAATCTTGCCTGGCTTCAGTTTGCTTATCTGTAAAATGGAGACAAAACTCACACTGCAAGGTCATTGTGAGTATTAAGTACAGTATAAGAAAGACCCTGGTACATGATAGGCACTCCTTAACTAACAATTTCCCTTTCTTCCTCCTAAAAATGACAATGATAAGGCTCAGGGTTTAATCATTATAACAAAAACAGTTACAGAAGAAAACACTCGGGTCCCAATCAACTTTCCTGACACTTTGATATGCAAAAGATTTGGCATTTCTCCCCTTTCTTCTTAATGAACAAAAGCCCCTCACATTAGGGAAAATGAAAATCTAGGGAGAAAACTTTCCACAATCTCATCATCCTAATACCACGACTGTTTCCATTTTTGTCATGGGCTGGCTTTTATAACAAAACGGTCACATTTTCTCCACAGTAGCAATCAGGATGTGCTTACCGAGGCATCATCTCTTGTAAGGTACTAATAGATTTATTCCAGGTGATAGTGGGAAGCACTAAAGAAGAAGAAATGGAAGGCTGCGGGGGTGTTAGAGTTCTCTTGTGATATTGTTCAAACCTTTCTCCAGCACAGAAACTCCACAAAGAACTCCTCTGCAGTTTTTGTTACCCAGGGCTGTTTCTTTAAATTGTTTGACGTCAGAGAAGGAATGCTATAGCAACAGTCTGTCAAACTGGAATTAACTCAGAAGAAAGATGGGGGTGGGGAGAGGAAAAATGCTCCCAGGCGGTACTGACTTCAGAGGAAGCAAATTGGATAGATGCATTTATTTTATGACATTTTAAACATAAAACACCCAGAGAAAATGTTTTTTAAAAGTCGATTGAGATGCATGTGGTGTTTCACTCATGCAGAGAGGAGCGACTTGGCAGGGTTATCTGGAAGGCCTTCTGCTTTCATCAGTGAACAATAGTAACAACTTCCAAGTATTGATCATTTATTTAGGGGCAGGCTCTGTGCAAACATTACTTTATTTAATATGTTTAGCACCTTTATGAGGCAGGTATCACTATCCTTATTTTGGCGATGACCAAACTTAGGCCCCGAGACAGTACATGGTCACATAACTAGTGATGGTAGAGCGGGGACCGACACGCAATTTTGTATGACTCTGGGCTTCAGTTTGCTTTCTGACATTTAGAATTCCAGAAGGTTAAACCTAAGTGGGACCACAGGGTCTCCTAGCTCAGCCCTTTCTCGTTCCCTGCTCAGAGCAAAGTACCGCCCGTGCAGGGCCGGGAAGGAAGCTGAGCACACCCCTTAGACGGGCGCTTCTTACAAGAGTGCTCGGGCGCCGCACCAACAAGAAAACGAAACTGCCCGGGAATTAATGTTTTTCTTCTCGTTCTAGCAGGAAACGAGAGAGAAAATAGGAAGCAGAAGCTGCGCGCGGCGCCCGCTCCCTTCGGCCCGCCGCGCGCTCCGGGCCTGCGCGCGCCGCCTGCACGTCCCGCCGGCCCGCGCTCGTGCCTCGCGCCTCGCGCCTCGCGCCACGTCCCCCGGCCCCGGCGCGCGGCGGAGTTGGCCCTGGGCGGTGCGGGGCTGGGTGTGGCCGGCGGCTCTGGTCTCGGCCGCGCCGCGCTCTGCACGCCGGCTCCGCGCTCGAGGGGCTGCCGAGCGCCCAGCGGACACAGGCAGCGCCCGGCTCCCGCGGGCCCGAGCTCCCTCCAGGTAGGCGGCGAGCGCGAGCGGCGGCTCGTCGGTGCGCCCCGCAAAAGGGGCTCCCGAGCTGCCCGCAGGGGTGCGAGGCGCCGTGGGGCGGCCCCCGCGGAACGCGGCCCGGGTGGCGGCGCGAGGCCGGCGAGGTCCCCTGAGTCGGGGACTCGGGACTCCGGGCGTCGGCCGCTGCCCGGGAGGGACGGGGCGGGCGCACTCCGCCGCTGCTGCGTGGGGACCGGCCCCGCGGCCGCGGTCAGGCACTTCCTGGGCCGCTCGGACCGCCGCTCCGGGGAAGGAGGGGACGTCGGCCGCCCCAGTCCTCCAGACTCCCGGGTTTCTCCTCACGCCCGAGGCCTCCTCCCGGGGGGCTCAGAACGCGAGCTGGAGCTTGCCCCGAAAATAGCGGCGATTCGGGACTGCCCCGGAGGGTTATTGGGCGGAGAGCGCTAGGAAAACTCACGAAAGTTCTCCACTGAGTGCTAAAATGAGTCCGCTGGTTTTGTGTCAAATTTATTTTTAAGATGATATGTCCAGCGGTTTGTTTTTTTTTTTTTTGGGGGGGGGACGGTAATGAATTTAGAATATTTGTAAGTTGGGTACATGAGAGAGCACATTTGGTACATTCTTTTTCTGCTTCAAAACACAAATGATTACCTGATACTTTGATATTTATTGCTATTCTGTAAGGGACTGCTGAATTCCCAAAAGTTTAAAACCAGGCTTTCATTTGTTTCTAGAAGCAGTGCTTTGTTATTTTGCATCTCTCCCTCTTCTCCCACTCCTTCCCTTTCTCTTTCAGTAGAGGATGAAGATGTATCTTTTTCTTCAGCCACCAACAAAATAGCTTGGCGTGTATATTAGCACCTTACCGGGCAGTTTCTTAAGGCATTCGGAAATTAACTGTTGATTACTACTTTTATTATCACTCCATCTCACTGTCGTAAAACTGAGATGGTGACCTTTAAGTACATCTTCTAGAACAGAGGTAGAGCTCACAGTGCTTATTTAAGATGAGAGGGAGTTCATTTCCAGTTGCCGAGGGATTATTAACATTTAAAATGGTATGATTTGAGTCTCTGCCATTGCCCATTTTAATTCTCTTCAAAGTGTGGCTTTTGGTTTACCACTGATCCTAGGCTCTGAAACTTAATTGTATATGTCACTATCGGGTTAAAAATCATTTTAAGATTTTTCATGTTGCCTTTTGGTTTCTGGATGAATTTGAAACTGAAATAGAAACTTTTAAAATATAGTTTTATTGAACATTGTCAACCTTCTGAATACACATTTATAAAATTAATGATTAATTTAGATTGTGATACATTTAGGTTCATCTTTTTGCGTGCAAGTTATTCTGAATAATTGGTCTTTGTTAACCTGTAGAATTGTTTCTTTTAAATCAATGATGTTTAAGTATGTTAGCACATAGTTTTACACTTTAAAAATAGACTCTGGGGAAATTTGAAAATTAAGAATTAAAACTAAGTGTTGGACATTTTTCTGCCCTTACCAAATATTGCTTGAGATGGTGTGATTTCTCTTAGGTATGTTATTGAAGTCAGCTGGCTGTGTTAGTTTCTTTACCTTGCTGATTAGTTTAATGTCTATTATAGGATTTATTTATTAAACATCTATTCTGTTCTGGACTGTTGCAATGCAGTGTACATTATTCTATTTATATCGCACAATAATTTGGCAAAGGACACATTATCGTCTTCCACAGGTAAGGAAACTCTGCCTGTGAGATGTCAGGTAACTTGCCAGTGGTTATGTAGCTGTTAAGTAACTCAACTGGGATTCAAAGCAAGACTTCTGTGTCTCTAGAATTCATATCCTTTCCTCTGTGCCACATTAACTTAGTGGCAGGGCAAGAGGAGTGACCCTCAATTACTTGTTAGCATATGTTTAAAATAACCAAGACATGCCAAAGATGGGTTTGTTTTTCCAGCACGGTTGTTACCATCCATCCATGTTACATACAGATTCTCACATCAGCCATTCTCCTTTCACCTCTTGTCTCCTGGTTAAATGTCTTCTTCAAAGTTCAAAACCTCCCTCTTGCTAGGATAGAATTGATCCTACTGACAATAATAGGTAGTGATGGCTTAATTATCTTTCCAAAATAATAATCCCATTTTAACGTGGGTTCTCTAGAGACAGAAGGTTACACACAGGATGGCAGTCTATTTTGGGATATGGGAACCCTTTGATAGCCCTCAAATTGAACCAGAAGATATTTTGGTATTTTGTCCTTCAGTTAATCCTTCTCTCCTGTATCTTCAATTTGCCAGTTATTATGGAATCATTTACATTATTATACATTCTATCTCCCACCTTAAAATAAAATTATTTTTTGATCGAGTGTTATGCTTCAGTGACTGCCTCCGTTCTCTACTTCACCTTGAGAAAAGCATAATTTTTTGACAGAACAAAAATACATAGGGAGATAACCAGAAACTAATTAGTTAACCACAGGGTTGAGTAGGAACTGAGTAAACTGGAATAGCAGAAGGAATAGCACTGCTCTGAATATACCTTTTTGTATAGTTTTGGAAACTTGTTAATCTTTTATATGTTCAGAAATAAAACTAACAAGATGAGGGGAACTCCAAATTGAATACAAACAGCAATGAATGAACCACCTATATTTCAATGAGTAAGGTAAACTCCCTGAAGAAAAAAAATGAATCCAAGTAAATTCTGAGCACAAGAGTTTTGCTGTATGTCCTTAATTTAAAGATTAAAAAGAGCTGAGAGGCGGGCATGGTGGCTCACGCCTGTAAACCTAGCACTCTGGGAGACTGAGGCAGGCAGATTGCTCGAGGTCAGGAGTTTGAAACCAGCCTGAGCAAGAACGAGACCCCGTCTCTACTATAAATAGAAAGAAATTAATTGGCCAACTAATATACTCATATATATAGAAAAAAAATTAGCTGGGCATGGTGGCGCATGCCTGTAGTCTCAGCTACTTGGGAGGCTGAGGCAGTAGGATTGCTTTAGCTCAGGAGTTTGAGGTTGCTGTGAGCTAGGCTGACGCCATGGCACTCACTCTAGGCTAGGCAACAAAGCGAGACTCTGTCTCAAAAAAAAAAAAGCTGAGAAAAAAATCCTGAACTCTCTGTAGTGGGCTATTATTTGTATGGTAGAGGTATAACAATTCTGAAACTATTTTGTGTGTATTGTAGGATTAAACAAATAAGTAAATTCATTGGTGTTTTGGAAGCTAGGGTTTTTGCCATGGGAGAAGAAAATAAAAATTGGCACCGAAGGAGGCAGTGTCTTCACTTTTGATTGGATTGGAGTTAGTGGTATCAATATGAACTCATGATTAAATATGTATACATACATGCATACACACATACGCATATTTCCTAGCTTTTATCTGCTGAAAGGGCCTAGGAGCAATGACACCCTAGTAGCAGGGAACATAACTAATGCCCGTACTAAATGGCTGATTCCAGACCTGGAGCAGGGAAAGTATGAAATGAGCCTTGAATATCTTGTGCCACAATATAAAGACATGTCCAAAAAAGTGATGGGAGGTGTCAAAAGGATATAGAAACTAGCCTGAAGGAGCTCCCAATGCCCAAAGCTGAGAAAATTTGAGCATCAAAATGAGTGATAGTAATAGATTATATAATAAGCCATTGAATAAAATAAGGATCCCCAAGTTCATAATAAATAAATAAAAAGGGAAAGCTTTTCCACGTAGAATGCCAATTAAAACATATGTAGAAGGAACGATAGCGTTAGAAAAACCATGAGTTTACAGTTATCATAATAATATTGATTCAGGCAACTGTTACACAGTCTCAAATGATCAGTGAACAAGGGGAAAACAGTAACTTTACAGTGGAGAAATCTGGCAGATACTACCTTAACCAAGTAATCATAGTTAGTGTAATCACCAATATTAGCATAATCATGTTTTTCTTGATGTGCTTGAACTGGGATCATCATTACTTTTCTGTGTATTTCTAAAATGTATACCAGAATCTAATCATAGGGAAACAATTGGGGGACCTTAAATGAGGATTATTTTACAAAGTGACTGCTTTATAATTTTCAAATATGTCAATGTCATGAAATACAAAGAAAGGCTATGGAACTGTTCCAGATTAAAGGAAGTTCAAGAGGCAGGATAATTAAATACTATGCATAATCCCAGATTGAATCTTGGATTGTAAAAAAAAAATTATTGCTCTTAGTACATTGTTAGGATATTGGCAAAATTTGAATATGTGCTGATTATTTAATAATAGCGTTGTATCAGTGTTAAATTTCCTGAATTTAATAATTGTACCATGATTATGTAATAGAATGCCCTTGTTCTTAGAAGATAATACAGTGAATTATTTAGGTGTAAAAGATCAAAATGTTTTCAACTTACTCTCAAGTGGATAGGCAATAATTATACTTACATATATAGAGAGAAACTGGGAAAGCAAATGTGGCACATGTTAACAATTGGTCAATCTAGGTGAAGGGTGTAGGGGTGTTCACAATACTACTTTTTCAGATGCATTGTTCACAAGTATTTTCTCCCAATCTGTAGGTTGTTTGTTTACTCTGTTGATTATTTATTTTGCTGTGCAGAACCTTTTAGCTTAAGTCCTATTTGTTTATTTTTTATTTTATTGCATTTGCTTTTGGGGTCTTAGTCATAAATTCTTTGCCCAGGCCAATGTCCGGAAGAGCTTTTCCTAGGTTTTCTTCTAGAATTTTTGTAGTTTCAGGTCTTACATGTAAGTCTTTCATCCATCTTGAGTTAATTTTTTTTTTTTTAAGGTACATTTCAGAAGTGAATTGAGTTAATTTTTATATATGGTGAGAGGGAGGGATGCAGTTTCATTCTTCTAAATTTATCAAAATAAAAAAATTTTAAAAACTACTTTTTTCAAGTTTGAAGTTTTTAAAATTGAGAAGTTAAAAATAAAACTTCAAAAATAGGCTGAGCGCAGTTGCTCACGCCTGTAATCCTAGCACTCTGGGAGGCTGAGGCAGGCAGATTG